ATCAACTGGTTGCCGCAGGATCTTGCTAATGCGTCTAGCAACCGCCGTCATTCGACAAATACCTACCAAAAGACCTCCGGAATTCTAGATACCTCCCTTAGTCAAGCTTCGTGGTATCCATCGGTCATACACGGTACTGATAGTAGCTCATTGGTGTCAGAGAATGTATCTCAGACACCATCTGGGTATACATCTCTAGGTGGTACCACTGAAAGCCCAAGCCAATCAAATCTGAACCGGCGTGCTAGAAATCACTCGGTGGATGGTGCTATTCCGCAATCATCGAGCTCTAAACTGAATCAGGACTCATGGTCTTTATTATGTGCTGCTTCTGCGAATGCGTCGTTACAGCTGCAGCAAGCAGATACGCGGCGTCAATACTTGTTCCCTCAATTTCCAGAGACGAGAGTCCGTGTCACTAACGAGAATAAGAATGGCTATCGCCACACACTTGAACCATCGACATATGAGAGGATACGCAGTGCGTTCAATCAATTGTGCTGCGTGGAGAGTATACTGTATCCAAAGTTTGAAACCGATCACTTGCCTGGTGCGGAGACACTGTCAAGCTTTATTGATTTATACTTTGTGCATTTTCAGCCTGTTTACCCAATATTTCACACTCCTACGTTCGATATAAACAAGTGCCATTGGATAGTGGTGCTAGCTTTGTCGGCCGTTGGTTGCCACTTTGCTGGTTCCCAAGAACAGATTGAGTGCGCACCGGTGTTTCATGAGTTTCTTAGACGCGCTACGAATGCTGAGGTGAGACAGTCCTTTGATACCGGGTGATCCATCATTGACTGGATTTCGTTTCTCTAGGAAGAAAAGTATCTTGTCGATCGAGCACCCGTGTGGCTTCTTCAAGCATCAGTACTGAACTGCGTTGGAATACTCTACAGTTGTGATGAACGGGCTAGGCTTTTGGCACTGAACACCTTTGGCAACTTGGTAGGCTTTGTGACCCGCGAGAAACTTCTTGGTCACAGACCTATACAATCCTCAAACGGGGAGACGAACGAGCTGCGCTGGGTATCCTGGGTCGAGGACGAGATGAGAAGACGGACGGGCTACATGATATGGGTACGTGCTGCGCTTTTGTCTAGGAGGTCTAACGCCTAACTGGAAATAGCTTCTCGACTGCACAATAGCATACCATTTTGACAAGCGCCCTTTGCTGTCTCTTGACGAGAGCCAAGCAACACTGCCTTCCCATGAAGATCTTTGGGAGGCAGGATCTCCAGAGGCCTGGGAAGAAGTACGGAGAGGAATATCAGGTACCATCCGTCTTTATCTGTCAGCTTGGGGATTTACAGCTGATGCATTGCCTTGAAGACCAGAAAGAATCCTCCCTTTACGATGCGGTCCTTGTGATGTACATCGAGAAGGAGCTAGTACCCGATCTCGGTGAATTTAGCCAGCTTCTTCTCATTCACGCGTTATATCACCGTATGTGGGAGGTGGGAGACTACTTCCGCCGCCCCTTGTCCTTCTGGAACCCAACCTCCAAGAAGCAGTCACGGCATTCCGCACTCCCATCTGGCTCTGTATGGCTACCCGGTATACCGTCGTATTCCAAATGGCGCAACAGTGCATGTGATTGCCTCGATATTCTCCATTGGGCTGCTAGCAGCACAGTAGTCAGGTCCGCTGGCCTCGAACATCCCACAATCTTGCATCTCCATTTGGCTCGCATAATCCTTCTTGCTCCGTTTCGTGAAATACGGACACTCGCAACATCTCTGGCAATGGAAGAATCCCATTGGCATGAACGCGAACAGACCCTTGAATGGCACTACATCCTACGCTGGGTCAAACATGACCAGTATAAGGCCCGCCTGGCAGTTGTACACGCAGGTGCACTGCTAAGACATGCCCGCGATTTCTCAAGTCGGTCGTTCCATGAGCCAGTCGCAGTCTTCCTGGCAACCTTAGTCCTATGGGCGTATGGCGCATGCTACCCCTCACTATCTGACATGATGAGCTGCCGTGAAGCAGGACACGGCATGCCAGAAAAACCTCTATTTATTCATCTAGACAGACCCTGCGATGATGAACTAGCCCAACTTTTCGTGCGCGAAGGCCATGGAATGAAAGCTGTCCTGACCGGTGTTGGGGATGTATGTGCTCCGCAGGGACCAGCGGGGACCCTCAAAGCTGGCTGCTTGATACTTGCTGGTCTTTCGTCGTGGGGGATCTCGAAACGATTCACCGCGATCTTGGGCAAGCTTTCTGAGATAACCTCCAAGTCGTAGACAGACTTATTGAGCACGTTGAAGTGATGAGCGCTGGCGTGTTGTATATTATCGATTGTATAGTTAGATCATGAAGGACCAGTCTTCATACTTTATATTCAAGTATTCTTTGGGCATTCGATCATTTTGTGTTTAGAGACCGAGATGTCGTTTGACATGCTTCCAAGGTCTTCCGTCGACAGTATATACGCTTGTCAACAATTCAATGCATCCTCAGTCCAACACACAAACATGGAAGTGCCAGTAATTGACGAGCAGACAGATAACAAGACAGAGAGGCTTCCAACAAGTCTCACATCGTAACCAACTATGAATGAGATTGGAAATAAACAGCTGCAGCGCTCCTTCCGCAATGGGAAGGAAAGGCAGGCCTCCTCCCACCACCTCGTCCGATCCGTTGCCTCATCTTCTTCCTGAATGTAACTAACGACGAACAAAAAGACATACAACTAAAGCATCTTGATCATTGCTTTCCTTGCTGCACTCCATTCTACAGTAAGATATCAGATAGACGCAACGGGAGCTTCAAACCGAAGTGAACGAGGCAGCAGCGCCGTTCTCATCCACAATATCATTTTTGGATCGTCATAACAAGCTAATATTATTGATATCAGTATACTTGACGAGTAATGTGGCCTCTATCATAATAACTCTTGTATTCGATGGGATGAATTAGCACACCATACTATATACACTATTCCGACTCATAGCTAGATTAAGAGAGTATGTGAAGGGTGTCGTTGCAATAAATGGACATGTGAGTATGATCAGAATATCCATCATGAGAAAGCATCTACTACTTGGATTCATAATCATGAGACCTTGACATCTAACCCAGTTGAATAGATACCTTGCTCAGACCTCCATCTCAGTGGATCCAGCAGCTATAATTACACCGTGAGAAGCTACTAAAAAGCTTGGATAGTCGCCCTTTAGAAGACTAGACAAAAGTACGCTGTCCAAGAATCTTAGCCTGCACTGTGCACAGCCTAATACCACCCAGGTACTTTATCAGTACCTTACCAAGGGTAAACAGTCCATACCAAGACGGTAATGTATCCATTACTTACAAAGACTACTACTTACAGGTACGATCTATCAACTCCGGCAGAACACACCACTGCACCACTCCACTCCGGATAGATAAGCAAACAAAACCAGCAAGGCAACAAAGAAAGGACAGGATCGACCAAATGCAGGGGCTAATCAAACCCCAAGGATTTATCAGCTCGGGTATACACGCAGCAATCGGTCAACCTTGTGCCTATCCTCGATTCCTCTGCTTAGTTTGTGATCTCTCAGATGATGGCTGGGCTGCATGTGCACCGATCAGTCAGTCATTGCTCTGTACACCCCACGCTTTACAATCCGATGCATAGAATGAACTCAACTGAAAGAAGAATGATGCATGAAGATCAAATTGATAGGTAGGTAGGTAGATAGGTATGTGGATATGTACCCCATACGGCTATGGGGTTGTGCTTATCTCTGACTCACGATGGATCACCGGAGAAACAACCTCTCCACCCCACGGGATCTACCCCTGTCCCACCAATAGTCTGACCGCCACAGCCACAGTAAAGAAAATTATAATAGATGAATGAGGGGAGGAGTGTGACGGTCTTATCTACAGCCAGTCTGGATGGAGCTTTGTTGGCGGCTGTAAAGTTTGTTTTTGTGCCTGTTGGTTTGGGCCGCGACGGGCCGTTTGGCGGGGATGTATATTGTTCGTTCGTCTTGGTGGGATGTGCTGGATAGATATGGATGTGGTGGGAATATTTGATTTGAAATCCAGCAGTCTGTAAGATAAAAATTAATTTTTATTTGAGGGACTGTATGGAATGTTTTTCTGTCATGAGTACCAAAACTACTAATTCTGGTTCAGATGACTAGTAATTATATCTTAGTGTCAGCTCTGAGAATAGTATATTATGATGTAAGTAACTAAATATTGAAACGGGTAATAATTTCACCGACTAGCAGTGAGATCACTACTATATACTATGGCTTGCTATTGACAGGGATTCATTTCATGATTAATTAGCTACAGTGGATCGCATACGCTCGATCTTGATTAATAATGTAGATGTTGAGTGTTCGTGTTATGATCTTATGACCGTTTAACTAACTATAATCTTACAGGTAAGTAGTCTGTTATCTTACTATTAGTTTCTTTGGATGGATTTCGGTGGATAGTGCATACAACTGTACTGGAGTAGATAATAGGAGAGGAAAGAGATAAGGTGTTGCAGCTATATACTAAGTTTAAGATCTTGTCTTCTTTATATGTTGCTTGAGTAATTTGTTATTTATTATGAGAAGGGTAGCTAGTTCATGATAGTTTCTACTTAGATGCTAGGGATCATATCAAGGAGACAAAGTACTACTATGTGTATCATGAGATGAAGTAAATGTTTTTGATACCACTGTAGACACAGTTGTGTGCCTGGTGCTTGGACCGAGACTGGCTTTTTCTACAATAAGGAGTAGAGTCTCTACCTCAAGGAAATCTAGATCTCATACTTAACCTACCTTAAGCGACAATGGAAATATTGGAAATAATTCGGATGGGATTCGATATCTGCTCTCTAGCAATCCAGCTAGAATAGTTTCTTCAGCAAGATCAAAGTTAGTATCAAGCGTCATTAAGATATGATCCGATTTATGCGAAACATCGTCATGAGTAATGATCAAAGATAGGGCTTAGGCATTAGATGTGCTCGCAATAAAAGTAGTAAGTAGCCTTCATACATCCTTCAGCTGTTCCAAGACATGCTTGAGATTCTGTGCACTAGCGCTTGCATGATAAGCAAACTGAGCTATGTCAATGTTAGAGTTCATCCAATCATAACCACGCAATATATTAGTATACCATCTGCAGTCCCATCTAGAACAAATTCATGCATCTTCCCATCTAGAAACAAAGTCGCAGGGGATATACTTGACTCCGTTTGGCGTGAGATGTACGTTGGCGCGTAGAGGCGGGGATAACTGGGCGACTCTGATATCGATTCATGAGCAAATATTATAAACAGGATATATGTTGACTGGAATGACAGAGAGCTGCTTACCAAACCCAAAATGTTGCGATTCATGGAAGAACATCAATTTGCATGTTGGTATAACGTCCGCAACAGGCGCAGAGATATGCTCTTTCTTTGCAGCAGCACGGAAAGCGCTGCCGACTTCTGGATACACCAGAAGGTAGGTTTCTCCTGGATCACCGGCAATGACAGGAACCCTTTTAGTGACTAGATTTCCTTTTGAGTCATAGTTCTGGAAATCTGCCGTAACTTGATGCAAATACCGAGCTGGAGGTGATCGTCTGGTCCTGTGTAAGGTAGTGGGGAAACGGTAAGCCGCACGGTAAAACATGGTTGTAGCTTTTTGTTAGACAGATAAGACAGAATTAGTTTATTCGCGTGCAGGGGTGCTAATGAGCTCAATGGATGCAAGTATACATGTAGCGATGAACCTATTACTAGTAAATAGTCCAGTAGTGATAAGCAGCAAGCGACGATGTGGGTCGCTGCCGTCAAGCTAAAGGCAGATAACGGAGCGGAAGAATATACTAGCCGTACAATATAGTGACCATATGCTGCTAATTCACTCTTCATTCCTCGTTAGTTTTCCCCTATCAGATACTCTGTACTATCCCATATATTATTCAAAGGCTATTCTCTCTACGCTCCTATTTACTTGGCGAACTGTGAGACGTTGAGACATTCACTATAGCCAGGCATCATCGATCCTTTACCATCTCTACCTACGTGATCTCTGACTACGACCACCACTGAGAGATCCGGCCGATCTCACATTCTCTTCTAAGCTTACAAAGGATGGGCATCCTAAGTTTGTTGACTCACATTTCTAGTTATCTACCGAATAGCCTACCGATACTGAGTCCGGAAGATTCAATATCAAACCACATCTGACAACCATACTTTACCACCAACCATGCACCATCTAAAGATCCCATATACCAATACATACATAATTCGAACCCGTCTCTGCCATTTGTTGTGGGTTAAGAATCATTTCCGGTTCTATCTATGGTAGCATCCCTAAAACTTCGCGGATCGGGAGAATATACGCCCATTAAAAGGACATAAATGCCACTATGTTATCCAAATCAATCGCATGGATCGGATACGATATTACTTGTTAGAACTACTAGTATCAAAAACATCCGCCAATTATCCACAAAAGAAAGCAGAAATACCCAGTTCAGCCCTGCAACCTAGCCCCGTATTTGGCCACAAGCTAGAGACTTACTCCCTACTACCACTAGTAGTAATTTACCACTAACTAGACAAACAAACTCAGGAATACGACCAAGCCAGTCAGGCAATCCCTAAGGAATGAAACCTAACACTGCTGGCTGAGACATTCATATTGAAAGAGTCATGGGTAATCTTGATTCCCCATTGGACAGAGATAAGGGAACCCTGCACGGTGTCATCCATCACTAGCCAGCCAGCCAGCCAAGCCATCATACCTTCTCAGGTAGTAGTTTACAATAAAACCGGATTCGTATTTTACCTATTCAAGCTCTCCTATTCTACTGTAATCTCTGCATCGATGAATTTTGACAAGATACAAAACATAACATACGAACGGGAGTATCATACAAACATACATAAATACCCCAACCTAACTGGATAACCTAACAACAAGTGATGACAATAGGCGTGAACTCTATCCCACCTGTCATGGCGTCATCAGGCCATTATTTAACATCCGCGTGGTGAGTTTATTTTTCCTATTGACCGTGGGGTGGAACAATACCTCAACCAGTTAGTTATTCTTCTACATAGTACCGTCTGTGGGTGAAGATCAGCGATCGTATTATTTTCTTGTCTTGTCTTGTCTTGGGGGAAGTGAAATTCAAAGCATAAATCGTCCATGTCTAGTATCTACGTAACTCCAGGAATAATATTCGACTCGTCGAAAATACTACCTGGCAGACCCCCCTGCCTAATGACACACAACACACGACATAAGTAACTAATATGCAGCGGTTAGGCTCGGGGATCAGGGGACAAGACAAACACAAACAAAACAAAACAACAACAACAATAATAATAATAATGATCACAATATTACCAGGGAATAATATAATAGTAGTACGGAGTAATGCGCCTTGGCTCGCGTGATACCCAAACAGCATATAAAATAAACTTTCTGTCATACGCATGCTTTCATTATGATCATCTCCTGACTTACTATTAACTCATAACAAATGTTTCTGAAATATCTTGATGATTAGAACTTCGACTTTTTATTAGCGATAGAATATACAAACCAAATCAAATCACGATGATCTAAATCCAGCGGAACTGTTCCGAGAAGGCGCACTTAAGCATCATCGCCAACTAACTAAGCCCAATACAGAATAATCTAACACGTATCGGGACAGTCCTGCACGGGTAGAGTAGCCTGGTAAACAGCCTGGAGCTAGATGAATTAGGTAGGTCGCTAGAGAAGGACTACTTAGTAGCTGCGTTAGTTAGTTAGTTCGATCCGGAATTAGTAGTCTTAGTCGCTGTAGTGTACTCCGGACTCCGTTACTTATCACTTATCGCTTTCGAGTCGGTGGTGATAACAACTTGTTTCACTGTCTGTGTTCGGCTTGTCCCGCACTTAAGCGGTGTCTGTTGATGATATCCAAAGTAAATGATACTAGCAATTGTTCTACCTAAAGCCAGCCAGGTGTATTCTAGCAATATTCCAAATGAATAGGTGGTTCTCCCCCCTTCCCAAACGCCTCGCTATGCCCCTTTAACCCAAAGGGGAACGCCTCCAATATCTATGCAAAAATATGTACAAGAAAAGCAAAGTAAAAAGAATAGCCAAGTCCGGAATCCATGCGCCTCGCTGTGCGCATTGAGTGTGTGTAAAGCAAAAATAAAGGTGAGGTGAAGCGGCACTGTTTTACAGACTGCTCACAGAGATCCCGACCCAACGAGAGGGAACTGCGTTCTCGTCCTCATCCTCATCCTCGTAATAGTCATACCGAACATAACGGCCCTGACTGCCCTTGCGGGGAGGCAGCCAGATCCGGGCCCGCGTCGGAACATCGTCCCGAAGCTTGCCGCTGCGTCGCATGTTCATCTCGAGAACCACCATGCGCAGGAAATCGCTGTTCTCCCGCGGCTCGCGCTGGCGTGACATGGGCGGGATCTCCGGGTCGAATGGTAGCAGCTGTCGGTCGCGACCCTCAGAGCGTGCCAGGTGGAACCCGCTCCTGCGACTGCCGCGCCTACCCGAGCGATGGTACGTTTGCATTTGCACGGAAACAGGGCAGTTGGGGCTATCAAGGGACTCGTGTGGGTATTCCTGATAAGCATACATCTCCGCTGGTGAGACCGTTATTGGGTTCAGGTACCGTCGGAGTGCGGGAGATGGCGGCTCGTTCATGGGCGGAGGCCGTCGGTCGTCCGTCATCTCCGGCGTGATCGTGAAGAGCGACCGGGTCAGAAAGTCGTCCGGCTGAACGGAAGGAGTAGCAAATGCCGAGACACTCTGCGCAGCAGATTTGATTGCTCGCAAAGAAGCCGTTAGGTTAGATTTGAATGTGGATCCTAACCGCGGGAACGTTCGAGATGGTGTCGGGCTCTTCGGGGTCAGATCGGGCAATGAGGCCTGCTCGACAAAATCCTCTTCCGTGTCCGAAACTTCGTTTTCTAGCAAAGGGTGGTCGAAGATGCAGTTCTCACAAGGTGATTGGCGGTGAAACTTTCGCTCCAACGGGCTCCGCTGGCTTGACGGCGTAGACGGTGCCGGGAGACTGGATGGTGAGTCGTAGTCGCGCTCCAACGACGGCGTCGACTCAAGGGACATAGAGCAAGCGGAGAAAGATGGCGCCTCACTGTCACAATCACTCCCAACTGTGGACTTGTCGACCTCATCCGGGGGACTCAGAAGTAGATCCAGCACTGTGTTGCCCGTGCTCTCCATCGAATTATCGCCCACACCGTCCATCAACAGCTTGCTGAATTGCTGCACATGATCCACACGAGGCAGTTTTCTGCGGTTGCGAGACTCTCGAACAGTCCAGCCCCGGCGAGGCACGGGGATTGCCGTGGCTTCCAGAATCGACGCAATCGAACTTGGCACGGACCGGTCAGTCAAAGTGGCCGACGACGACTTGTGAGACACCGTTCTAGACTTCTTCGGCGTGGCTGGCCCTTTCTTTGCGGTCTGCGAATGTACCGAGGTCACGCGAGGAGCCCGCTTCGGGGGTATCACAACAGGACTGGTGTGCATGGTTTGCGGAGAAGAGTCGGATGGAAATTCGAGACTCGCAAAATCTTGGACGGGGAGAAGATCCAGGGAGGACTTGGTGACTGGAGTTCTCTCACCATGTTGACGGAGAGATGTCTTCGGAGACGGAGGTAGGGAACTGAAAAGATAAGCTCTTGGGACCATCATCTTCACAATTTCGATCCAGAGGAAAACTGTTTAATAAGGCGTCCTAGGCCCGTCGAGGCGCTCTGGTCGAGAGTCTGAACGAGATACATGGATGGGAAGAAAGCACGAGAGCAGAAGAGGAGGGAGGGGAACGTCCAGTGGGCGGTTCCCCAGTGGGAGTATATCTGATAGATATAGTCTAGCACTACTAGTAGTGGTTTGAGCAGATCGGCTATTTGCAACAACACACTTGCTGTGTTGGCACTGGCCAAAGACCCAGCCGAGCGGAATATGCCAAAAGCGGAAGACGGCCGGGTCCGTATGCAGGCACGCGACTATTGCAGACAGCGAGAGAGATGGGGACGGAAAGTGAAGTAGATGTCCACCGGAACGAGTTCAGAGAGAAGAATAGGGAGACGACGAAGATGAGGATGAAAAGAGAGTAGACAAGGGAGAAGATTCAAAGGAACCAAAGAAGCAGGGAGAGAGAGAGAGAGGGAGAGGATAAGGAAGAGCCAAGCCAAGCCAGGACAGTCAGCGGCAAAGGGAATAACTGTGTAGTAATGATCTCAAACCAGGAAATCCAGAAAAGGTAGATAACGGGGAAACACACTAAAAGAGAAAGTGACGGTAACAATTAATCTTAACCTCTGCTGAACCAGTACTAGTTACGTGGGTGGATGACGGTTTGTCCGTAACATCGGGTCCCGGCGGAGTCCACTAGACTGCAAAGGTAATATTGATCGCATAACAGAAAAGTTGCAGGCGCCTGACCGCATCGGACAGCATTAGCGCCTTCGTCGTCTGTAGTCCCCCCAAACAGTTTAGCGCCAGTACCTAACAGTGAGGCGCCAAATGGGGGTTGGTTGGTTTCAGGCGGTAAGGGCGGGTGCCGACTCCCGGAACATCCCTCGTACACCGCAGCAGTCTGCCCAACGCCCACCGTGTGACCCTGAATTGTTCTAGCGCGGTAACAACCGTGTATCACCTCGGCTCACGGTAACTTCTGGAACGGCCAGTGTCCCAAAGAGGTAGCGGCAGAATGTCTCCTTCCCCACTAAAGAATATTCCATATTACCGACATATTACCGAGTGTTACGTACTTCTCCCCCGTCACACCGTAACTTTGGTGGTTCGCCATTACCATCACCGATTAGCATCATTATTATTGTGGGAGATGGGGGTGGTCGGACTTTTGTGTGTCTGCCCAACCACCAACCACCCATATTGATCTTCGTGGGGTGGGTGTCATTTCCTCGGAAATGCTGTCGGGACAAAGGAACATTTGTCCGTCTCCCTTTCCATGCAAACATACTGACTGTCCCGTGAGATACTGGTAAACATTGATTTCGCCGGGTATCACCAAAGTACCATACACAGTAGGACGGGAACAGCCTTGTGCCTGGCTGGCTGCCTGCAGATATCGATTTCTTCCCTAAAGAGGTTCCAACATTTTGTTTTTCCGGTAATTAATAATCCGGGATCCTCCAGACGATCCGTAAGGCTTGGCGCCGAGGATCGCATTTGCTTGGGCCTCATTGGGTCAAGCACGGAGGACGCTTGCGGAGTCTCCCCGATGCACGCTCTCTCTGCCGAGGACCAATGCCTCGTCTACTTTTTGAGAACAGCATCAAGCCAAGACCATATATGCGGCTGGAAAGAAGCGGTAAAGCGCAGGAAGTGTCCCTTGGAATGTCAACATTTGCTTCTTCTATTCAATCTGTCTCCGGTTGATCAATGAGCAGTGAAGCAAGATGACTCATCTGATTCTGGCCGTTCTTGTCATTGTACAAAGCAGTGGACTTATGCAAGGCCTCCAGCAAGTCGGCCAAACCCGATGGCTGGAACTCCAAGGTCATGGGATTATGCCCACCGGATATCTACTAGAATGCCATTATCGTTTGTTCTAGGGGCCCGGTTTTACTGAGCCCAGCAAAAAGCAACCTCAGGCTATCTGCAGTTACGTGCAGTGATAACCATACCAGATATGGACAAGACAGCTGCTCGGCTTAAATCATGCTGCTATATCCTTAGTCATCGAAGGGATCAATTCGAGCGAAACTAACATATTTCTACTAATACAGGAGAAAAGGAGTGATCAAACATTAATGCTGCATAGTTCTTGGCGATATCCCTTTCTAACGACTTGGAAGACAATAACCAATTAAATAGCGATTAGCGAGAAACAGAACACAGAAAGTAAAGGGAAAAGGGACGAATACAGGCTGAGTCTGACCTGTCCGCTCCCTTGCCACGATTACGGCTATTGATGATTCGAACGATTTGTGAACGATCTGCCCTTCTCCTCGGCTCGCCTTGCGTTCTGGAAACATCTCATGTGGCTTAGAAAGAGCATCTGCCGGAATTGATCCATTGGGGACATTATCGACATGGTCCCCAAAGATGAGAACTTGACCCGTCCTGACGCTGAGTCTCATCGCTTGTGTTGAGCAGCAGTGACTATGTACAGTGATGTTGTGTGATCTGTGCACTATACAAAGGAGCGTAATAACCTACCATCCCGAACCAACATTTGTACACGAGCCATCTGTCCTGCCCAATTACAGTCGAGACTCCGGCTTGGCCCCAACCTGCATCATTTCCCAGCCCCATTCCCTCAACACACGCACAAAGCCTCTGATCTCGTCCGGTTGGTTATCCGCGTGCAGCATCAAGCGGACACGCTCCTCCTCCTTTGGGACGGCGGGATATCGGACTGCATGGGTGCGGAAGCTGTATTCCTGCAGTCTCTGCTGTAATTTGTGGCATTGTCCTTGCTCCGTGATGATGGGGATGATGGCCACGAACACCTCAACGTTCTTCGTCTTCTCAATGGAGGGGAACTTTAGAACCCCAGAGTTTGATAGAGCCTGCCGCCATGGATGCATGAGGATGAGCTGGGGGAAGATTTTGATGTTTGCGCGGAGCCTCTGGCGGCGCTATTCATAGTGAGCACTAATTAGACGTGGGATATATATTGGAGGGTTTGATCACTAGTGTTCTTACCTGCTCCCCGTCTGCGCTGCTGAGGGTGGCAATCGAAGCTCCGATGGCGGCGATTGTGGGGAAGGAAGGCCCGGTCGAGTACATCAGGCCTCGTGCGAAGTTGGCCATGTATTCTTTGATCAAAGGATCGCAAATGCCCACACCTGATGCACGTTAGGCTAGCCAGTGACGGAGGCAGGAAGCTGAAGGACACATACCACCCAGGGCACCGGGGCCTTGCCAAAGCTCTGCATTGAAATGATGGGTTCCTTCTCCAGTCCCAAGTGAAATGTATCCTGAGCCGTTGGGTCCAACAATGCCCGTTGTGTGAGCCTCATCAACTACGAGCACGCCATTGCCAGCCGGTAGAGCACTTCTGACATGCGAAAGAATCTCCGGGATAGGCGAGATATCGCCTTCCATACTGTAAAACGACTCCAAAGCAATGAATACCGTTCTTCTCCCGCAGCTAATATCGGCCGAGCCAAGCTTAACCTTTTCAAGCACATCGTCTAGCGACTGGGGATTATTATGTGCAAAAGCTTTCACGATAGACGCACGGCCGTAACGGATCCCATCGCGGATGCTCGCGTGGGCCATGGTATCGTGGATAACGGCATCTCCCGGTTGAAGCAAGGTGCTATATATGCCAACGTTGGCCTCGTATCCGGAGTTGAAGAACACGGCCTCTTTGCCGTGGTGGAAGTCGGCTAGCAGTCTCTCCAGTTTCGTGACGTCGTTGGTGGAACCACCGAGGCATCGGCTCGCGCCAGCTCCGATAACGAATTCAGGGCTCCTTTTCAATTCTCTGTGGAAGGTTTCGTGCATGGAGGGGCTGGACCGGAGGCCTAGCGTGTCGTTGGACCCGAAGTCAATCATGCCCATTTCAGTGGCAGGAGGGCTCATTTCAAAGTATTGGCCTTGCTGCCGTCGCTTGGCGATGCCCGACTGCAGGGCCGCAGTCAATGAGGGCGGGAGCTGTATCGTGTGGGTTCGGGTATAGCGTTTCTTCCACTGATTCGCAGGCAGGTGAAGCCACGCGTGCAAAGGGCGGTTGATTTCTTGATGAAGTCTGTCGGTGAGGCTTCATAAGTCAAAGTATGGAAGCCTGGGACTTGTTCCTATCCATGGTAATGGGTGTCTTTGCTGTCCTTGGGGCACGTCGATCTGGACACACAAAACGACACTGGCAGGCATATGGTGGGCAGCACCCAGTGGGCGTCTTGAATAGGAAATGCTCAAACCCATGAGTGACAAACGTCCGGCCGACGCTTGCGGGATAGGACCCAAACCCTCGTTCTCGCTTCCCAAGGGGATCCATTCGCAATATGGGATGCAGGTGGCATGGACAGCAAATGAAAGACTTCTCTGTCAATCGTCGGTCAAACTTTACATGGAATGCTATGATATCAATGATTCCTCTTTTCAACAATATAACCACATGACATATCGATCTAGCCATCAGACCCACTCATCTGACGAGAATTATGCATATGCATTGACTCACATCTCAGATGAAATTATACACAATGATCAATTGATTGCCATGCTCCTTTGGACGGCCTCTGTCTTCTTGTCACTCTGCACCGGATCTCTTGCTCTCTTGTGGAGTTAACCTTCATTGATCAGCATGCGCGGGCCAGTAGATTGCCAGAAGAACGGCCTGCGTGACGAGTTGAAAGTCAAAAGTTCGTCCACCTGCTGGATCCGGCGAGTTGCAGTGACAAATTCTTCTTGTCGACTACATCATTTTGTCGCGACCAGTGATGATCTCAGCATCCACGCATGGGACGGCGATCGGGTCGCTGTCGTTCCGGACATGGCAGTTGGCCGCGGAATCGCGAGGTCAATGTTGGACTGCCGTGGAGATTAAAACCCCGAGCGACTTCAGCGGAGTACGTATTGAACGGCGATGCCGTTTGGAGGGTGCCGTGGATTTATGATAAGTACTTGCCTTGCTGCTTTCCTGTTTGCCCGCAGAAATAAACCACAAATGAAAGCATCGAGACATTTGATTGTCAATCAATGCATATTCCATCAAACCCTCCATTTTCATGTAGCCGCTCAGTTCAGATTTCGTCCCTATATGCTGAACTGGACCCAAGTTTCCGCTAAGAAAAGAGTCCAATTCGAACAGTGGAGTTCATAATGGTTTGCTATACCATGATGGAGAGGATTCTGGCGCAACATGCTCAAAAGCATCCAGACGCTATGGCCGTGCTGGACGGGTATCAAACCCGCACGAATGGGCAACTGCTAGCCCGTGCCACATGTCTGGCGGACAGGCTTCAAATGAAAGACAAGGTTGAGGCGGAAGAGCCCGTCGGTATTCTCCTCAGCCCTGGCCTGAGTCAAGTGGTGGCCCAAGTGGCCGTCCGTCTCGTCGGTGCAACATGCGTCCCTCTCGAGCCTAACCAGCCCCCGAAGCGGATCTGTGAATTGTTACGTGATGTTGCCGTCAGACGAGTGATCATTGAGGATTTGTCTACCAATAGGTATCAAGGCTTCGACCTTTACCCGATGGGACACCTCGAACCGGCGCTATTCCGCCACGGTAGTCACCTGGTTACTCAGAAAGTCTGTCACCAGAAAGAGGATGGACGCAGTCACATCCTTTTTACATCGGGCTCCACGGGAAAGCCGAAGCCTGTCCAGATCCAGACAAGCAGCATCCTCCATTTGGCAATGGAGAACAACATGACTCCGCTGTCACATACCGATCGCGTGACAGCATTCAACAATCCTGGGTTCAATTTGAGTCTGTTTGAAATGTGGGCTACGCTGATAGCCCGGGGGACTATCGTGGTCCTGCCAAAGGGAGTCGCAACCGACCCAAGCCGTCTTCTTGCCTTCTTGACTGAGACCCGAGCGAGCGTGATGATCATCCCAACGGCCCTCTTCGATGTAATTGCGTCAACAGCCCCCAATGCATTTCGTACTTTGCGCCATGTGATAACAGCTGGCGAGGCGGTGAATCCACGAGCGTGAGATCTGTCCTGGAGAAGGGACCCCCAGAAAATCTGTGGAATGGATACGGTCCTACCGAGGAGACTAGCCTAACGACCATGTACAGGGTAACCTTGCCGGACTGCCTGGAAGACCGCATCAGCATTGGCCAGCCCATTGGAAAAGCAATTGTTTATCTGCTAGACTATAACCTGGAGCCTATCGAGGAAAGTGGCATCCATGGCGAAATATGTATTGGCGGGCCGGGAAAGTCAGCTGGCTATCTCCACCGGAGCCGTGAGAATGAGGAAAGGATTTATCCAAGTACTTATTCCACACCGGTACACAAAGGGCACAGGCATAACTGACCGCACGACTGTCGCTGGTCGTTCAAGTGTCGAACTGTATCGCACTGGGGACATTGGCCACTGGCGACGGGATAAACCAGGATTCCTGGACTACATCGGCCGTCGCGATACACAGGTCAAGCATCAAGGATTTCTCGTCGAACTCGAGGAAATTTCGCGAATTATGGAGTCGAGCCCACTTGTGGAATCGTGTGTGGTCATGCAAAGACCACCCTTGTCGGTTCTCCACTCGTCTATCTTGATCGCGTATATCATACCCAGTGGCGGGAATAAGCAGAGTCAAGACGCCATTTTTCGATTCGCACAGGACACCCTGCCATCCTACATGATCTCGGAGGCGGTCCGAACTAGTCACAACCTTTCCCTTGACGGCCAATGGAAAGGTCAACCTCCAGGCTCTTCTGGACAGTTATGCACAGGGCCCACGTAAAGGCGAGGCTGGAAGGAAGCGGAGGATCGTTAATGGCACATGTATCAGCACCAACGGCAAGGACACGAGGTCTGCTCTGGCGAGAATATGGGAGGAGCTACTCCAAGTGTCCCACCCCACGCCCGAGCAAGATTTCTTTCTCTTAGGTGCCTCGTCCATTCAGGCGGCGGCTCTGATAGCTCTCATACAACATCGGCTGGAGCGCCTGATTACCATGGATGAGCTACATGCGCATTCCCGCTTCTCAAGTTTGTGTGATCTTCTTGATACCGGGCAAACGCCCGTGGAAGATAGACACAAGAACGCCCCAGATCATACTAGTATTTGGGCGAACGACGTTGATATTGTCGATGACATTCCACTCGCTCCGGATTGGGATTCGGCAGCCGAAGGACGCGTTTTCCTCACAGGTGCGACTGGATTCGTGGGAGCGCATATCCTCCGCCGACTCATTGAGAGGCCAGGTGTGAAGCAAATTGCGTGCCTTGCTCGAGCTAGGAACGGCCAAAGCGCCGTTGCTAGAATGCAGAAGGCCATGGAGAAATACGATTTGTTTCCCGATTCCTTGGAGCTCTCCCAGAAGATCTTGGTTCTGGAGGGAGACATTGGCGGGCTTGGACCCGCGCAATTCAATTGGCTAGTTGATTGGGCCAGTGTGATCTTTCACGTGGCGGCCAAGGTCAACTTCTGCGAGTCTTACCGGGAACACCACCCGACAACATCAAAGGGACACGGAACGTTTTGAACGCTGCAGCGCTCGGTCGCCGCAAGGCATTCCATTACATGTCGAGTATCGATGTCTTCGGTCCATCGGGTATTATTCTAGGCAGGCGAAGCATTCCCGAAGACAGCCCACTGATAAACCACCTGCCTGCCTTGCGATACGACCTTGGGTACGGGCAGAGCCAGTGGGCCGCCGAGGCGATGGTGCGCCGTATGCAGGAAAAGGGCCTCCCGATCGCCATCTACTGCCCCGGCTTTATCATTGGAGATAGCGTCACTGGCGCCAGTAACCCTGATGACTTTATCACGCGATGGATTGTCGGGTGCATCGAGATGGGGACCTTCCCGCGCATATTTAACATGCGATTTGAGTATTGCACGATCGACTTTGTCTGCTCCTCGGTGCTCCAAATTGCATCGGAGAACAAGAATCTTGATCAAGCCTACCACATTATGTCTCCCGACCGGACCAAGTCCCTGACCGTTGAGGATACCATCACTCTCCTCCACGAAGCCGGGTATCCCGTGCGGATGATCGATTACAGCGACTGGGTGGAGCAAGCAGTCAAGTCGGGCACGTCAGAAGGCTCACTCGCGCCGCTGATGCCCGCCCTACAGGAGCGAGTGCTTGGAGAACTGACGCGCTGGGAATGCGCTCAGTTTTCGCCAGTATATGAATGCACGAATACTGTTCGTGCCCTTGCCGGTTGCCCTGAGGCACAGTATAAACCGTTTACCATCGATGTCTTGAGACGCTGCATGGAATTCTGGAAGCGGAAAGGATTCTATGATGTGTGTAAACCAGGTTGGTGAGAGCGTGGAGTGATGATGAAACAAACCTATGGCTATGTAGTAGATAGTAGATAGGCCGATCCCCGTCCTCATAGATCAGGCACATACACTAAACCTCTTTCAGTAATAACCAACCAGCAGTACTTTGTACTATGAAGAATGGAGGGCCATGTGACACAACTGCGATGGTGCCGACCGGAAACGACCCAAATCATTCCTTCGACAGTGGGATGTCATGCTTTCTTCCAATGAGATATGTCGGATAGGCAGAACAGAGAAAAAAAAGAAAGCATATCTTGACTATCTTGCAGATATGAACACCCGTGGGAAGTACTAGTCGTTTCCACGCAGAACTCTAAGATGGACGAAGATTAATAGATAACCAAGTATCTAACATGGTCTGTTCATCATCATTATAATATATCCCGATGCCTAACTGACATTCATGTTTCCACAGTACCCTCTTTCATAGTTAACTGCTAGTTATAAAGTTACTACCTCTGGAAGGGCGCATTAGTCATCCACCGTTTCTTATCGCCGCAACATCCAACCAACCGGGCCAGATCGTCGAGCTGCCGGCGCGCAGTTGCACAGACTCGCTATCTATCTCTTCCTTTTTACTTCCCCCCCTTCAACATTGTCCAATCATTCCGTCCAGATCATCTCTTCTTATCATCCTCCGTCGGTTTCCATTCATTCTATGCTCATTGCTTTACCCCGTACAAACCCCCTCCCCGGTTCCATCTTCTACCCAGAGCAATCCGTCGCCTCCACTTGCGGGTCATTTCGTCAACCCATTCCTGCACGTCGCGGGGTAGCCTAATTCTTTTTGTGGTTCGATCTCGGCTTGACTGACTGAACTGATCTGTGAGTCGCCCAACATGCATCATCTCTCGACTTCCTGACATCCTCCGATTGCCGATTGCGCAACACTCCATCCTTCCTCTGCACTAGCTCCTTCTGCGACTTTGCCAATAGTACCGTCCTAGCTCCTGCGCGCTTGCCTAACTAATGCCTTTACCACGGCCTCAGATTCGCTGTCTTGCTGTCGAGCTTATGCCGGTACCCTCGACCCGCGCTTCCCCTCCACCCATTTTGTGCAGGGGCCTTCTGGGTTCCCTCTCCAGCAGCCCGACCCGCTCTTTCCCCCCTCGAGAAGCATGCTTCGCTCTGTTTTGACGCTTTCTCCGAACACTCCTGGGTGGACCTGACAGCGATGGAAGACAGCTCCGCGGAGAAGTCGCAAGAGATGGACGCCACGCCCACCCTGACAGGCTCTCGAGGGAAAGCTTCGACCAGAACTCAAGCTACAAAATCGGACAATGGCCCAGCTTCGAAAAGACGTTGTGTCAGTACGGCGTGTATCGCCTGCCGCAGGAGGAAATCCAAGGTACGACCAACCCTACCGCTGTACATGCTCTTTGTAGCTGATGGTGTGGTCTAGTGCGATGGAAATCTACCGAGTTGCGCAGCCTGTTCCTCCGTCTATCATACAGCCTGTATAGTACTGCCTTTCATGCTGGTTTCATAAGACGAGTCTCACAAAATTATAGGCGTCTACGATCCGAATTCCGACCATCGCAGGAAAGGTGTATATAAGAAGGATACCGACGCGTTGAGAACGAAAAACACGACATTGTTGACGCTGATACAAGCCTTATTAAACTACGAAGAGGAGGATGCATTCGACTTGGTTCGCCAGATCCGGTCCTGCGATAATCTCGAAGATGTCGCACAATCGATCCTTGGCCAAGGGAGAGGTTCCACGGCGGGCCCTGAGGACACAGGAGCTAGCGGAGATGAAGCCCTAACGCAGACTGACCAGTTCGAGTCGGAGTTAGCGGGGAAGATGAGTGAACTTGTCTTGGACGGCTCCCGCAAGTTCATTGGGGGCACGTCGAACCTCATCTTTCTGCCTCCCGGGTCAGAGCTGAATGAATTTAGATCATCTCTAGGTGCCCAAGAATTGGATCAGGGCCATGGTGATTATTCCGTCACACGGTGGACCCGTGTTACCCAGGATGAGAGACTGATCAGTCATCTCATGACAATGTATTTTACCTGGCATTACCCGTTCTTCACGACCCTTTCTAAGGATTTATTTTATCGGGACTATATACGCGGGGTGCCCAGCCAGTATTGCTCGACTTTGCTCGTCAATGCAATGCTAGCTCTGGGGTGTCATTTCAGCTCCTGGGAAGGCGCTCGGGAGGATCCAGAGAATTCTGCCACGGCGGGCGATCATTTCTTCAAAGAGGCCAAAAGGCTATTCTTCGAGAACGATGAACACGCGAATGCAAAGCTATGCACCGTACAAGCGCTGGCTCTGCTGTCGGTACGCGAGGCGGGCTGTGGCCGCGAGAGCAAGGGCTGGGTCTACAGCGGGATGAGCTTTCGGATGGCCTTCGATTTGGGCCTCAACTTTGACTCTACCAGCCTCGGGGCGCGGGATCTGGGCGAAGAAGAAGTGGATGCACGCCGGATAACTTTCTGGGGTTGCTTTCTGTTCGATAAGTACGTGACCATACAGTCTCTTAGGGGATCTTTGATGAGCTCTAACATTCGCAGGTGCTGGTCTAATTACCTCGGTCGCCAGCCCCAGTTGGCGGGATCTAGCATTAGCGTCCCGAAAGTGGATATATTGCCTAACGAGGAAGCTGAATTATGGTCCCCATACATGGATACGGGAGTAGGTCGTGAGCACACTCAACCGTCGCGGATCCGAGCCGTTGCCTCTCAGATCTTCCGCCTGTGTGAGATCAATGGCGACCTGCTTGTATTCTTCTACGACCCGACTCCGAAGGAGAAACCTACCACTAAGCAGGCAGAACTCAAGAAACTCAGCGATCTGCATACAAGGCTTGAAGCCTGGAAGAAGGATCTACCAAAGGAACTCAGACCACAAGAGGGCCAGCTTCCTCAGGCACTTCTAATGCAGTAAGTTTCATGGTGATGGCTGCTGTCGCATTAAGCTGTATCACTGACAGACCAAAAGTATGTTCTACCAGCTCCTTCTCATACACCTTTATCGACCTTTCCTCAAATACTCCAAAGTCAATTCTCCACTTCCCCAACATGTGTCTCCCCGGAAATTGTGCACACAGGCTGCTTCTGCAATCTCAAAGTTGCTGAGGATGTACAAACGGACCTACGGGTTTAAGCAAATATGCAACATTGCAGTCTACATTGCCCATACCGCGTTGACTGTACATCTTCTCAATCTTCCAGAGAAGAATGCTCAGCGAGACGTCATCCATGGCCTGCGGCATCTCGAAGAGATGGGTGAGAGTTGGCTCTGCGCACGTCGCACCCTCAGGATTCTAGAGATTTCTGCCAACAAGTGGCATGTCGAACTGCCGGCAGAGGCTACAGCCACTTTCGAACAAACACATGCCAAATGGGGATCCTGGGGCTCATGGGATCAAGCGATATCTCCTCCGCCTTCCGAGGAGTCACCGCCAGCTCCAACCATGCATTATCCGGTTGCAGATCCAAGCAGTGTGCTTTATCCACAGACCGGGAGACCGATGGGTTCACATGAGCATGGCGGTCCTGTGATGCAGTCGCCACCCACTTCGGTGGGGTCCATGGGATTTTCACACACAACGGGACCTCCAATACCACCTTCTGTGTCGGCTGTGCGTGCAGCGCAGCGGTCATTGAACGTTCAGCTTGCGCAGGGCGCTACCCGGCTTCCTGAGCCTACGTATCTCCGGCCCGTAACCAACGCCTATAATCAGTTCCAGCCCGTTCCGGTGGCCCAGCAGGAGGTCTGGTATGCCCCGGACGAAGAACAGATCCGCACATTCACCACTGGGCAGAATATTCCTGCAACTACGACATCGTCTCCTGTAACACCCTTTGATGGGCCGGAAAATCTTGTAGAAGAGAGCCAAGACTGGTGGTCTCGTGAATCGAGCGCCATGACCTTTGGAATGGACCATTGGGTGCCAGGATGGAACCCTGGTATGACTGGGAGAGAACCCGACATGCGGTTCGGAAACCATTACGCCAACGTTGGGCAGACATCGGGAGCCGAGAATAGCTCTCGACCAACCCCAACGATGAGGTTTGGGGTTGGAGCCCCTCCAGGGAGTGCTAATCCAGAGCAGCATCCAGGAATGTCTGGCTACAGTGGCGTGTGATTGCTGGGACAATCAAAAGGTGATAATGCCGGTGCAGTCCTTGGCCACGCAAGTTGCACCCCGCGGTGCCTTAAGATAAAGAAAAAATAATTACGATGTTACGATAAGTTTGGCATATGTGCCTGAACTAATGTTTGTCTTGTGCTATCTGCTTCGCCTTACTTGGATATCTGGATCATCCGTGGATGCTGGCATTCGGGTTCCATTTCAGGCTTTTTGTATAGTTCATATGACGATGGACACCATACCATACCCTTTCGGGCGATTTATTAGAGATATTGATCCAAACAGTATAATGGAAAAAATCATTACAAGAAGATCGGCCTTGACCCTACCTATCGCTAACATCTGCTCCCCTCCTCGCATTTCAAGAACCCCTCACTAGCTCGCCCCGGAGGGCAGCAGGGTAATCAAGTAGTGATCGCGGATGCCCAAACCCAACTACCATGAAAACCCGAAATATACAAACCTACCCATGAACTACCTAAACCAGAGTAAGTGTAAAGTGTAAACAGAGCCTTAGTCAAATGAATTCGGTCAACCCGATCATACACAAAGATACAAACAAACAGTAACAAAAGGCAATCGTGACCCAAATGCTAGCAGTCATGGATGATGCACATATACACACACACATACAAAGCCCGTCCGTCGTTCATTTGCCCGAAATAAAGAAACACAACACAACAGTACATAGGAAGAAAGAGATCAAGAAAGTTGAAAGCTTCAAATCTGTATGTGAAATGCAGGAAAGCATGCATGTATCATCATGTTAAGTCTCCAGTAAACGGCGGTCCCAGCCAACAAACACGATACATTTACGACTGAACATCGTAGTTGAGAAGATGATAACGAAAAGAAGTCAAGGGGAAGACAAGTCATGTTCATTGCACAGGCCGGCCTATATAAATGGATAGAAGATGCGAGGATATGAGGGAGGATGGGAGGACGGCTGGGACGCAGGCATAGGAGGCGCAGACGCAGAGGCACAGGCAGAACAGATGTAGATAGAATAAACGGGATGAAAAAAAATGCATTCGTTCATACGGCAAATGGTATCACAGGAAATAATCAGCAACAGGCTTCTTAGCAGGCATGCCTCTAGTATCCTGCGCCGCGGCCTCAAACACCCTATACCGTCTCCCGGGACTGCGGACGGCTGGTTTATTGGTCGATCCCATGATCCCGTTACTCCTTCCATAATCGCCATTGCTTCTGGCGACGGTGCCACCGTTGCTTGTATCTTCGCCTAGTTCCAGGATAGCGGCGACGTTGCCGCACCGGTAGCAGTAGTTGGGGGCGGACCAGACTGTTACGATCCCGCCGTCGAACATCTCCTTGTAACCTTCCATGACGAGTTGATGCGCGCGCGCGATCAGTGATAGGTCGTTCCGGTAGTTGAAGCGTTTGACGATGTCGCCGCCGAAGAGGAACCCCGCGCCGCGGGGACTCAGACCCCAGCCGTCGATTTCGTCGGGGTCGGACCAGAGCAGGTCGCACATGGCGCCTTCGTGTGGCACTTCCTGTTTTCGGTCAATCAGGCGGATCTTGTCGACTGTGTCGATGGCCGGGGAGAGGCCGCCGTGCACGCAGAGCACGGCTCCGGTGCGGCTGCCGTAGCTCCCGCCGGCGTCGCCGGAGGCGCTTGTGCCGGCTGCGCCGGAGCGGAAGGGGGCTTGGTTGGATGTGGCGGATATGTCGCGGGGTGGGGAGATGGATGATGGGTCGGAGGAGGGTTGTGGGCGGGGGCGATAGGTGCTCATGGTGACTTCGCCTCTGGAGTTGAGGATTTCGGTCTCGAGTTCGTCATCGATCGGCATGGTGGATTGGGTGGTATCCATGCTGGGGCCGGTGGGTTCGAGCTCTGAGCTGGCGCCCAAGACGAGGGCCCCAAGCGCAAGGTAGTCGAAGACCTCGCAGCAGTATCGCCAGACGTTGGCGCTGCCGTATTTGCGGATGCACTCATCGTAGAAGCCGTAGACGGTGGTGATTTGGCGCGATTCGTGATTGCCACGTATCAAGGTGATGCGATCGGGGTATCGGACTTTGAGGCAGAGAAGGAGGAGGAAAGATTCGAGGGAGTAGAATCCGCGATCGACGAAATCGCCCATGAATAGGTAGTTGGTGTCCGGGACGTCGCCGCCCACGCGGAACAGTTCCATCAAGTCATGGAACTGGCCATGGATATCGCCGCAGATTGTCACGGGCGCGTCGACGGAGACTACATTTCCTTCTTCGATTAGGAGCTCGCGCGCCTTGTAGCAAAGTTCGCGGACCTGGGCTTCGGGTATCAACCGACAAGCGCGTAATTGCGCGATAGCCCTACGCGACAAAAAGTGGGATGTTAGCTTATCGTGGTCTCAGGGGGAGAGGGTACGAGGGGCGGGAAGGGAGGGAATACCGGTCAAGGTCGCTCATGGTGCTCGAGCGCAGCAGGAGATAATCGGAATGAGCAGCTGAGTTGGAGCAGGGAGCAGGGAGGGTGGGTCCTGACGGCAGAAGAATGGAGGAGGCACTTGAGTCAATGCCGATGGGGAGGGGCGCAAGATGGATGAAGGAGGAAACCGCTAAGCGCAGGAAAACAGAACGCTCATTTTCTCGTCTAATGCAGTGCTCGACTGAGGCAGAGCGAGAACGGGCGAGATGGGAGGAGGGAGGGGAGGGGGCAGAAGAGTGGAGGCAGAGGTGAGAGAGGTGGGCGATGGCAGCTCAGGCGGTTTGAGTCCCTTCAGTTTCCAGTTTGCACCTCGCCGCTGTCCCTGATGGCCAATCATATGCAGTAAAGATAAGATTAGATCTGATCGCCAAGACTAGACCGAATTCATCCAGTTCGGGAAGTTTGTAGCCTGAATTTGCTGCCTCAGTTCGGTTCCCTTTCCAGTCTCCCCATCATAACTTCTCTCCCCTCCCCGGCTTCCCCGGTGGTCCTTCTATCGCGCCCCCCCGCTATCCATTGGTGAGGCCATACCGTGATTGGGGCCTCCTGCCTTGCCTGTCTTTAATCCTTTGTGCTCTCGTCGCTACAAGGTTTGACTGGCCCTTTCTTTTCAATGGTTGTTATGCACTGAAACTGACCGATGCCCCCGACCTAGTCAACGCATCATCATTGTCACCGTCACCCTCCGCTCCGCATAATAATTCCCCTTACTCCTCAATTGATCACATCCATCTTTCAACATGCCGCCGCATCTACATCCCCGGTCACGGTCAACGTCCTCCCTCTTCGCCGGGACGCTCCTGGCTTCCTTGGTCGTTGTCGGCCTACCACATGTCTTTCCCTGTCCCGCCCCGCGTCGCACATTCGCCGATTCCGAGATGATAATGTCGGCAGATGGGCAACCAATTCAGAGAATTCGCAGAAGACGTCGGAAAGACGAAGAACTTCTCAGCCAGGATGGCAATCCGCTCGCCCAGACGCAGCCGGCTGCTGATGAGGTGTCTACGTTTCTACAATTAGAAGAAGAAGCACAGAGATTGGCCAAGGCAGGTCACGAGTGTCCAGTTCCCAAGCCGCGAGGAATTCTGGGCGAATTGCTGGGTTTTACGAGTAGTGGAGATATGCCGACATCGACGACGACACAGTCACAACGGGTTGGGGAGGGTCGGTAGCGGACAAAAGGAAAGCGGGGAGGACTCAATTAAGGCTCATCTTGGCCTTGAGCATGTACAGCGTGAAGGAATTATGGATCAAACCATGAATTAAGCCATGAAGCAGCCGTGTTGGCTTCGACGGATGTTGGCTTCGGAAAGTTTCGGCCGGGCACAAAATCTGACCCATGGCAGCAATATACCCATCTTTGTATCGATAGTGTACCTACAACTACTGTCTACTATATGATTATGCATACGCGATGAAATACAAATCACAATTGATGTACAATTCGCCTCAAATTATGGTAACGAACTCACCTGTTCTGCAAACATGCGGCCGCGCGGACTTGTGTGTGTCCACGAACGCTAATCCCAAACGGGGCAGCTCTCATTGGCTCTTCGGCACGAAGAGGCCACCCGACATCTACAGCTGTAGAAGAATGTAGTTTGGATCAACAACCACACACAAGATGGACTGGATGCGCCTAATTCGCGATCTCTGTCTCAATCCCCGACACACAAAATGGATGGCACCGCTTCTGGTCCTGGGCGACGCTTTTCTCTGCGCGCTGATCATCTGGAAGGTCCCCTGTAAGGCTAAAGCTAAGCTCCGTTCACGCCGTTTTGCGACAAGTTGAAGCAATGCCACTAACCTAGCCCCGTTGCTGTTACTCGCAGATACCGAAATTGACTGGACCACATATATGCAACAGATATCGCTCTATTTGTCGGGTGAACGCGATTACACTCTCATCAAAGGATCCACTGGTCCCCTTGTCTATCCGGCCGGCCATGTATACAGTTACACGTTTCTATATCATCTCACCGATGAGGGGCGCGATATTTTCTTCGGTCAGATACTGTTTGCTGTGCTCTACTTGGTCACGCTGGTGGTTGTGCTGTGCTGTTATAGACAGTCGGGTGCTCCGCCGTATTTGCTCCCGCTGCTGGTCCTTTCCAAAAGACTTCATAGCGTTTATGTTCTGCGTCTGTTCAATGATGGCTTGGCGGCGCTGGCGATGTGGGTTGCCATCTTGTTGTTCATGAATCGGAAGTGGACGGCTGCGGTCGCAGTGTGGTCTACTGGTGTTGCGATTAAGATGACATTGTTGCTGTTGGCTCCGGCGATTGCCGTTGTCACGGTGCTTAGTCTGTCGCTTGGTCCTAGTGTGAGACTGGGGGTTCTGGCCGTCCTTATCCAGGTAGGTCCCCGTGAGGCTGCAGAATTGGCCAAGGGCGAGTTGCGTGGAGACTAGTCTGACCTTGAGCTACAGGTTTTACTTGCTATACCGTTCCTACAAAACAACCCCGCAGGATATCTCTCGCGGGCGTTCGAGCTAACCAGACAGTTCATGTTCAAGTGGACAGTCAATTGGAGGTTCGTTGGTGAAGAACTATTCTTGTCCAAGAAGTTTTCCCTGGCATTGCTGGCCATCCACATCGTGCTGCTGGGCGCCTTTGCTGTCACTGGTTGGTTGAGGCCCTCCGGGTCTAGCTTGCCCGTATTCATCCAGAATCTGCTTGCGGGTCGACAGCGCACAGTATCTCTCTCCAGACCCTACATCATGACCGTGATGCTATCGTCTCTTGCAGTTGGCTTGTTGTGCGCAAGGTCCCTTCATTACCAGTTCTTCGCCTATCTCTCCTGGGCAACACCCTTCCTCCTCTGGCGCGCAGGGTTTCATCCCATCTTGCTGTACCTCATCTGGGCTATGCAAGAGTGGGCTTGGAACGTATTCCCCAGCACCAACCTCAGTTCCGTCGTTGTTGTCCTCGCACTTGCTGCCCAGAGTTTCGGCGTCCTTGCGAATAGCGCCAGCGCCTTTGATACCATGCGTTCGAAACTTAGCGGTAAAGAGCATATCCAATAGAAGTGACATCCAGCCGATATCGAAATCGGGCTGTGACAGGTGCATCGATGATCGCAATCGGCCTTGTACCCATGAGGAATAAATGAGAAGCCGTGAACAAGTAAGACTGCTCTGTTAAGTAGTCTATTGCCCATGCGATAAGGCCCGATGCCTGAAGCATCAAGCAAGATTCCAATCAAGCATCCGACTCATCTGAGGAGGGCATCTTGCCGACATTGGACTCATCCTCTTCGTCCGAGTCGTCCGCGACAACAACAGCTTGCTTAGCGAATTCCTTTGGCCTGCAATGGGATCAGTAGTAGCCCCAGGCATCACGATTGAAGTATCTACTCACCAAAACGGGGCTTTGCGCCACGCTTTCTCATCACGGACGATGTTGACAATCTCTCCCTTGAGCTTGTTGTCGCGGCCCTCAAGGGCATTGGCATCGATCACCACGTAGGAACCCCGCTTGATCCAGATGGTCGACCGGAAGCGGGCAGGGAGCTCCACCAAAACAGATTCCTTCGAGGGAAGTTCCACTGAGTAGATATTGTTTCCGGTCGCCTTGATAGCCCGGGCGATCAGATGGCCCTGAGGCAGCTCATCCGGCGGGAACATGGTCTCTTCCGCTGTAGCGAGGACCTTGCGCCGAGGAGGAACCATATCGAAAGTAAACACGAGCGGTTCGGTGGGAGGTTATGAAGATCTGACGTTGATTGAGTATTATGGAGACTGAGGAATGCGCGAGCAAAATGCGAAAACCGTCGACTGCGGAGGATTTTCTCGAAAGAAGAAATTCGGGCGGTAGAAAATCCCCGGTGGGGAGTGTGGGTCCCCATCCGCTTCTTTGCCAGTCTCGCTCTCTCTTCTCTCTCCATCCCCGCCATCTAGATCTCTACTATCTGCTACCTACTTCCTTGTTCATGTTCAGTGAAAGGTTGATGGAAAATGTGACATTCAAGCCAGCTACACAGTACACCATGGAATTCCTCGAATTAGGGCCTTGCTTGCGAGTCAGGTCTCCTGCACAATGTCTGGGCAAAACCTGGCATCTAGACCACTTGACCTCGTGTTTTGGACACCTCTGCCGGCACTTGAAGTGGATGTATCATATCGCGAAACTTGCATGTGCCTGGTTGGCTTCCGAATCCTATCTCTTTGATGTTTGCTTACTGGTGGGGTTTGCGGGGTGATATTCCGCTGAAGCTAATTATCTCCTTTGATATTAATAATGTTCCCGACACGTCGGGGATCCCCAGAGCTCCCTGAAATAATCCTTTTTCCTAGGGTCGTCACAGTTTTCGTACTTAAATTTCTTAGGAATTTCTTTACTGACTGGATACTCCGCTGAAAATGTCGTTCTCGGCCTTGGGTACTCTCGTGGACATTCAGAGTCCGCCGCTAATCACGAGTCCTGCAGCGGTGGTGCGCAAGGATAAGCAAGGGATTCCTCATGCTCCCTCGGATCATGAACTAGAGGGTCTCCGACGAGAACGCAGTCAACAGACCGCCGATATACCCTCTCAGCAGACACTGGGTTTACAGACGCCTGTGAGCCCCGGGGAATTGGAAAGCCATCCCACTTCGCCGGGAGAGGAAGCTGTGGACTCTATTCCCGCAATACAGAGTCCGCCGATGACTAAATGGCGACTGTTGAGTGCCTGCTTCATGAACTTCGCCGGGGGACTGAATGACAGCGCTCCTGGAGCCCTCATCCCCTACATGGAGAAAGACTACAATATCGGTTATGCTATCGTGTCGCTGATCTTTGTAACAAATGCGGTGGGGTTCATTCTTGCTGCCCCTTTGACCCAAATGCTGGAGCTAAAGCTCGGCCGGTCAAAGACCTATTCTTTGGCTACAAGCTTGACGACCGCTGGTTATGTCATCCTCGTCTGCAAGCCACCATTCCCTGCCGTTGTGGCCAGTTTCTTCCTGCTAGGCCTCGGCATGGCTGTCAATTTAGCCCTGAATAATGTCTTTTGCGCGAACCTTGTGAACGGCACTGCAGCTCTGGGCGCTCTTCATGGTGCTTATGGCATCGGCGGCATTATAGGCCCGCTTGTGGCGACGGCATTGGCATCTCATGGGGTCCGATGGTCCTACTTCTACAGTATCAACCTGGCCATGTCGCTGATCAACATGGTGTTCTCCGCTTGGGCGTTCCGGAAATATGAAAAGGAACTCCCAGCACAATTACTGACGGCGCTCCATCGAACCACTTCTCAGCAAACGCCTGGCCCAGTCCAGCCGGCCAGAACACACCTTCTGAAGCAAGCACTGAAGAGTCGACCCACTTTACTTGGGGCTCTGTTTATCTTCGCCTACCAAGGGGCGGAAGTCTCCATTTCCGGCTGGGTTGTCTCGTTCCTCATCAACTATCGTCATGGGGACCCCTCACGGGTTGGGTACGTTAGTGCCGGATTCTGGGCTGGCATTACCGTTGGACGGTTTGTCCTATCGCATCCCGCCCACCTAGTCGGGGAGAAGCTATCCGTCATCCTACTGGTGCTCGGATCAGTTGCCTTTCAGCTCATGACCTGGCTCATTCCCAACATTATCGGGGACGCCGTGGCTGTGGCCGTAGTGGGTCTGCTACTGGGACCAGTGTATCCTTGCGCCACGGTAGTGTTCAGCAAGCTACTGCCGCGCTCGATGCAGACGTCCAGTCTGAGCATTATCAGTGCCATGGGAAGCAGCGGGGGAGCAGTATCGCCATTCTTCACCGGTCTGCTGGCCCAAACAGTGAGCACGTACGTCTTGCATCCGATATGCATTGGATTGTACGGCGTAATGCTTATGGGGTGGCTGTCTCTTCCTCGTATCTCGAAGAGATCCGAGTAAACCGGCCCGCCATCCTGCAGGGTGCAGTCACAATTTGTCATCTGGCGTCACGCTTGCTGTCGAAATTTCATCGTAGTGTGGTTTTGCCCCTTCGCTTCTGATCCCCGTACTGTATGTCCTCCCTACTTCTCGGGAATGTGTTCACTTTTTTCTGTTGTTTGGGCCTGTTCAGCTGTTGCCTTTCCCATTTCTTTTTCGCGGGTTCTTCAGGTGTCTCTCTAGGTGCATATGTCTCCCCAATCGCAGGACTCCAGGCTAGTAAGGCAGCCATGGACGGATGATCCGACGGCACATGACCTGCAAGCAGCGTGGTGCAGACATGGGAGTGGGTTGAAAAAGCAAGGGGCACTAGAATCGCCCCAGCAAACCCCTCATCCAGGTGACAGGAGGAGGGGAGGGGAGGGTGGACCTCGACCTTTTTGTAGACGTCATTCACGGGGACTGTGGCTGTGGGTTTAAGGGGATCATAGATCTCGGATGCCAAGTGGGTGTCAATACTTTTGATGGGGGAGGATCCCAGCAGCAGCCATGGAAACAAACTGTTTAGTGCCTTTTTGCCTTTTTTTAGTTCACAAATTTTTTTTAGTATTATCGGCAGACGCAGGGTGAGAGGAAACGGTCAAGAAGTGGACACCCGAAGGCCGGCACAAGAGGAAGGAGAATCGGGCCAATTCATCAACACCACGGCAGAATGATGGTAGGAGAGGGGACCGAAAGACAGGGAGCACGACGTTATAGTTTAACGGTAGTTTATCTCGCATCTCCGGCGAGGAAATCTCGGGTGGTTGGGCCCGAATTGCGTGCCTGGGCTGAAGAGTTATTGATGTTCGGGGGTTGTTTTCTGTTGTTCCTCTGGGCAAATATTCTCCGTGCGTGCAAGATGAAACAGATCATCCATGGATGGACCAGAGACCCTGTGCGGAACAAGCCCCAGTCCAGTCAGTCAGTCAGACAGATCAGTTATCTAGTTAGTTGAAGAGGGAGAATAGATTTGATTGCATCATTCTTCCCGGCCGTGTCGTTGCCCCGATGGTCGATCCAGAGATCAGTCCATCAATTATGGGGGAAAGGAAAAGCAGTGCGGATTGACTTTTTGCCTGATCCCGTTACTAAGTCAGTCAGTCCATCACATTCCGAACCCGCGACTGCTTGCCCGAAGGAAAAAGAACCGTGAATGTGAGTGAGTGAGAGTGTGAGTGACTATCGCGGGCGGTAAGGAACCAGAATGGATTGAATAGGAAAAAAATAATAACATGAAGAACTAACCAGAGTTTATTCTTTTCTCTTCCTAACTTTTACTACTACTACTACTACTACTACTTACTACCTATCTATTTTTTTTTCTTTCTATTTTCTATCTTTGTAGTGAAACCCTATACTTAACCTGGTACTGGAAGTTCACACCCGTTTATCTTTTTTTTCCCACATTTCCACACGGCCTCAGCCACAGGGTGGAATTTAGGAACCGTGAGCCGTCAAGTTCATCGCCACGGGCCCAACTTTGTCTCACGTTTTCCGAGTGGCTTAAACCCTGGACTTTCTTGCCTTGCCTTGCTTGCCTTGGAGAGCTGACTTGACCTGACATCCCGTCGTCGCGATCGATCGGACTTCCCCCCCTCCCTGCAACTGTCAACAAGAGCCCCCGCGACACCTACTATTATTGTTGTTGTTGCTGCTGCTGCTGTTGCCGTTGCTTTTCTTCTTTCTGCCTTCTTCTCCGTAACCTCACCACCACAACAAACTTCCTTCCCCCGATCGTCGGCCATTTCCCATCTTCATCCCTCTTCC